ACTGAAGCGGAGTAATCTGTTTTTTAAATTTAATTTTTTTTTTTCACTGTTTTTTTATTTTATTTTTTATTATTATTTACTTTTGGTGATCACCAAGTCTTTGAGGTCAGAAGACTTTCATGCCATCACCCTAATCTTTAGCTTCTTTCACAGTTTATCCTTGCAGATTCAAACCAGACCTCCGGTTGGAGCACTCCTCAACAATAATATAATGCCAGAAAGAAGAAATTTTCTGGTAAAATCAAAAGAATACCATAGAGCTGTGAATAATTTTGTCCTCAGCGGTATATGTTGCAGACTTTGCTAAGCGAAGGACAAATCAAATACTTTAGACCTGCATTCATGAGTAACCTGTCATTGTATTCCTCCTCCACATCTAGAACTACGTACTGAATGTCTATTATCCAACTATTTATTCGTTTACCCATTATCAAACAGCGCTGCTCTCATTACGTTATGACACCTGTTGAATGGGGCTCGACAGTATGCATTCACTTGAACTTGGAAATCTGACATTTACCGATTTTCTCAAATTTTATGACACATCTTGATAAAAATCCTTGGTGATGTCAAAGAAGAATGGTTCAAGAAGATGGAACAATAGCAGTAGTTCAATTAACTAAACATTAAAATCAAAGACAGATTTTTTTTGTGTGTCTGGATGAAATTAATTCAATTAACCAAACATTAAAATCAAAGATTACTAAATATCATCACAGAAACAAAACACGTCAAACCTTGAAACAGCTGGAGAGGAGGACTCCAGAACAACAACAAAAAAAAACTCAGGGTATAATTCACACAAGGTTAACAGAGGTGGGTTAAAATATGGAGTAAACAAGATGCTCCATCCTGCTGTGTTCAGGCTGGTGGTGGTAGTGTGATGGTGTGAGGCTTATTTTCATGGCTCACATTTGTCCTCCTAGTGCTAATTCACCATTGTTTACATTCAACGTCTGAAACACTTGGCAGAAGAGTGATCTTTCTTGGACCTTTGTGACATCTTTACTGCTGCCTTGACTGATTCTGACAAAACCGGAGAGATGAAACACAATCCAACAGCAGATGTTTGTTATGATGCACAGATGGCATTACTTACATCAATCTTAGTAAACACTGCACATCTTCATAACTATGCACACGTAGTTCATGTATCTTATGGATTGGTTTTGAATACATGAGAAGGTGCCCTTGATTATTTAAAATGGGCTAATTTAATACCAACTCTGGATACAAGTCTTTTATCCTGGGAGATGGAGCTCAGAGTGAATGGGAAATGCATTTCTTTCTGCCCGAGAACTCTCCAAGTTTTCTTTTTTCTTTTTTACGGGATTTTTCATTTCCTTTTTGCACTCCCACTGCCTTTTTGCCTCGGGGTCAATAAAACTCATTCAGAAAGGTACAACTTGCAAATTGAAAGTGATACATTTTTGAGGGGTTTTTTTTTTTATGTGTGTCCAGCGGATGAAAGGAATTAAAATCTTTCTCGTCGGAGCACCATGCAATCTGCCGTGTTGACACCAATGGTTGAAAATCACAAATCTCTTGTATAATCATGATCTGTGACTATGGGCTTTGTTATACGACTTAGTGCTGCTGATGTAACCCGCCAGCAGCGCTCTGTTCGTGTGCATTCGCGTGGTTGCTGTTGGTAAGTGCGTGGCGGCAGATGGTGGGAGCGGTGTTACCACAGGCCGATGGACAGTGCACAGGGTGAGCAGGCTGTGTTGACTACAGCAAAGACACTCTCTGTCTGTTTCTCTCCCTCTCTCTCCATCCCCTCGCCCTCTTCCTTCTGTGTCAGCTGAATGAATGGCTGGCTATCTTTCTCAGTCAGCAGCCACACTACTCTTTCATCATCTTTCTTTCTGCTTGTGCATTCATTCCTCTGAAAGAATGTCAGACTGGTCCATCACTCCCTACATCCATCCATCCATCTGTCAGATGGGTATCCATCTCTTCTCTGACTTTTCCTCCCTTTCAATCCGTCCGTGTACCCCCACCCCTCTGAGGTTTTCCATGTGCTTAAAGTGTGAATGTGCATGTGCAGTGGTGCATGTTTGTTTGTTGATGTGTTTTTCAATGTTCTTATGGCCGTGTGTGTGTGTTTATGTGTGCTAGATCAGTATCTATCCCCTCGTCCCTCCCTCCACCCCTTCTTGCTTGAATGGATGTGTGTGGTGTGAATCAAGGTCAGTGGGGATCTAGCAGACGCTAACCCTCCACCCCGCCCCATCCCAGCCCACCCCTCCTTCCCATACACACATAGACAGAGGGTTTGTGTGTGTATGGTGTCCATCCAACCATCTAGATGTCCCTGCTTTGCCTGCCTCAGCTCAGTTTAGCCCAGGCTCAGCTCGGCTCTGCGGATTAATTACTAGGGAACCCATGGCGTCTCTGACCTCCGCCATCGGACTAATTGAAATCTAATTGAATTGTGCTTGTCTCAACTAATGAAACCCCACCACTGAAAGCGCCAGTCTTTTAGCCTTAGCTGCGAACCGATAACCACCCAGCCGGGGTGTACTGACGGCATTGTCCCGCTCAGCTAAAGTAAGAAATCATGTTGGAAGTTAACTATATTTGGGTTTATCAGTAAATGAAACCTCACTAACTGGGCTCAATTTCTTCAGTTCTGTTAGCTAGGTGGATATATTTGTAATCTGAGGGAAATTAAGTGGTGTTGTGATGCTATGAGTTTTACCAGATACTTTCCTATCATAATGTTGAATTATCAGAAAACTTTTTCATTGTCTTATGTGGAATCATGGTAACTCTGGGGGTACCAGATGACTCTGCTGACTTAAAGCTACTGTATAAAAAATGTTTTTTTCATATTTTTTAAAACTGTCACCATGTCCTGACATTATATTATGAGACCGATAATCTGTGAAGAAAGTGAACTCCTCTGCCTCCTCCCTGTGGTTCTACTGCCATCTGCAGAAATACACTACTAACTCAGAAACAGCCAATCAGAGCCAGGAGGAGGATATTAGCGCTGTCAATCATTCTCACGTCCCCAGGGCTGTCTGATACGCTACAGATAGTTACCCACACCAGAGCCTGCTATAAATGCACAGACGAGTTAGCTTAGCCATCGACGATGGCGGATAAACAATCTCTCTTTAACTGTAAATTGATTCTCCACCATTAACATATTGAGCAGTGTATAAATGAGGATGACTGACAACACTAAGATCGTCCTACAGTATGTTTAGTTTGATGATGTTATGATTATTAATTGAACTGTAAAAGAGAAAAGCACGTCTCTAAGAAAGCTTGTTTATCTTTGACTTCTGTAAATAAAGGCTAATGATAAGTAAGTGCTGCAAAATATTCTGAAATGGGACTGGAGCTCTCTGTGACCTTTGGTATTTTTGACTATCAGCTGGATTATCTTATTGGCAGGCAACTGCAAGAATTGGGTTCTTAACAGCCTTTTATGGATGAGTACACTGAAACTTTACTGCAACTTTTACTTATGATGAGTTTGTATATCATTAACTCAACATTCTGTACCAGTCTTTAGGAGCCATTTAGGATAAACTGACACACAGTGGATGGTGCTAATGCATCTTCAAAACAGGAAAGTAAAAAAAATAACACCACTGCCAGCAATGACAAGAACACTTAAAAATAACGTGCATATTCAGACTTGCCTTCTAATTTAACTCCTTGCGGCACTCTGTTTCTGTATTTTAAAAAAAAATATTAAGCTACATAAATATAGGTGAATATTTTACATAAAATAGACATTCATTAGGTAGTTGGCAAAGTAGCACAATTGGGCATGAGTTGGCATAACTTTGTCCAGTAGGTAGCAGCAAACTGCCTCCATTATGTTGCTTTGTCTGTCTTGAATATTGCTCAACCGGCCTTGGTAATTTACATAATCCACCTTGGTTGTGTGGAGTTTTATATTATTAATTATGAACAGAGCTTAGTTTTATGTTTTGAGATCGAGAAAATTAATTCCTACTACCTCCTAAGGAAGACGAGGAACTGATAACGTGAATAACGACCAGCTCTTATCCATTTAATGAATAATAGAGCTACACAATGTAGCAGGAATATACGGCCTCTATGGTGTTGTTATTTATGTGACTATGGTCAGTTTGAAATAAAATATTTGTTGCATCCTTTCAAAAAGACACATCAAACCACCAGCCTTGAAAAGGCATGACAGTGATGCAGACTGCATGCACAACATTTGTAGAGACAACATGAAAGTTAATACTATAAATCTCAGGAGGCAGCAAAATTAACCAAACTGAAAAGAAAGGAAGAGGAAAAAAAAGAATGACAACATTGAAACACGTCCTCTGAGAGCAACCTATTCTGCGTGCTCCAGCTCCAAAGAAAACAACCGCAGCATCAAAAGCATCAACGGCGCCCATGTTTCTCCACCGTCATGGAGACTATGGAGGAGGCGGGCTGCTGTCAGCGGCGCTTTAGACAGACACGGATGGCGGGTTGTGCTGGACCTCCTGGGAGTTGCTTGTTTTGTTGGGGCTTCTTTAGCTTTTAGCAGGTGAGAGATGGTGCTGTGATTGTCTTGAGTTATTCATTTGATGTTTCTTCCCGTCTCGGCTCCTTGTTGGCTTGAATACATTAGCAGCACGGCAGAGTAGAGGGGATGCTAATGTAGAAGCGAGAGAGAGAAGAGGAGAGGAAGAAAGGATGGAGCGAGTGGAGGGAAGGAGTCAGTCATTAGGCGAGGAGGAGGAGGAGAGAGAGGCAGAGGACAAGGCTTTATGATGTGTGGGAAGAGGAAGTGACCTTCCCTCTCACTTTCATCTTGGCTCTTTTCTCCTCTTGCCACACAGATGCACAAGCACTCACACACTCACACTCACAGCTTTCCTCACCAGTACAGCATGAAGTGGGTGTTACAATCTCCTTACAAACAGCCTATCACACACACACACACACAAAGAGAGAGATGTGTATGTGTTCGTCATCCATTCTTTCTTTTTTTTTTTTGTCTTTCACCTGTGCAGGTCCCCTTGCAGCCTGGCCAGTCTTTCAAGTTCACAGTCCTGGAAACCCTGGACAGAATCAAGGAGGAATTCCAGTTCCTCCAGGCTCAGTATCACAGGTACGTTTACACACGCACCACAAATGCAAGCATGCATAGAAATAGACGCAGGGAGGTAATTGGGTGAAAGGAAGGTCATGTCCTGGACATGTCGCTACTCCATCACAGGGCAAAGCAGAAACATACGGGACAAACAACCATTTACACAAAGACAGATGTTCTTCTTACTTTAATTTATTGTCAACATGCTGTGAATTTGAAAAATTTGAGAATTAAGCAGGTAGTTTTTCTGGACCCAATCAGGTGGGTTACATAGCACCCCATTGGGGTACACATCATCACACACGGACCTCTGATGAGGATTTCATCTATGAAGTTGATTTAATCCCCACAAGACCAACTTCCGTGTCCAGAAGTCATCATTTGTTAACTTAAAAAGAAAATGTTAAATTGGAGAGACTCCTGTAAAATCTTCTGTGGAATTTATAATCTATTTTATAAGGTGGAAATAAAAAATGCAATTTTGTTGTGCAGCCTGAAGCTGGAATGTGAGAAGCTGGCCAGCGAGAAGACGGAGATGCAGAGGCACTACATCATGGTGAGTCCTGCCTCACTTCTGGTGGAGTTGTTTAGGATGCATTTGTTTCAGAAAAATCTGAAGTCCTCTGACAGAAAACAGACTAAATTCTAATTATCTATGTTTTGTCAAAGGTTTTGAGGGGAGACGGAACTAGGGGATGAAACTTTAGATTACTGTAGATCCAGGAAACATGTAAAACTCAAGAACTAGATTTAGTGGCTCCTGGTTGATATAGGAATTTATACATTTACTTTTATCTGTTATTTTAAATGTTTTGTTTAAAGCATCCGCCAGTATTATAGACAGCATACAGCTCCCAAAAGTTGTGGAAATGAAAGTTTTCATTTCCTCTACTCACGTTAGTTTCATTTTCATTTCTCATCGCACTCATTTCTCCTTCAAACCTTCTACACACACATTTCAGTATGTATTTAAGACTCTTGTTCTCTTCTCTTGAACTAACAACCTGAGCTCTCCAAGTCGGATCGTCTAAGCGACTAAGGGCTCACTTCCGTCATAAGCCTTCGTCTGTGGCACAAAACCCACACCGAGCCAACCAGAATACGATATGCACCATCTGCTAAGCTGCTCGCATTTCATAAACCTGGGAGAGCAGGCAGGATCAGGGCTGTAAGCTAGATAGACACACAGATGGATAGACAGAACGAGGGAAATGCAGACAGGCACATAAATAGGAGGAGCGCGTGTGGAAGAAAGGAAGCGGACAAGAAAAACGGCAGTCAGACAAAATGATGGAGAGTCCTGCTGAGAAGCAGGAGAGCAAATGACAAATTACTCGCATACGCAGCATGCTCATTTGTGTACATCTAAATAGACCATTGTTTTAATCCATATAAGGTCTTTAACAATGGGAAATTTGACAGATAAGTGTAAAGTGAATGTTACTTAATGCTGTATTTCTCTATTAGGTCAAACATGAAACATAAGCTACATTATTTTCAACAAATTGGCTTTTGCTATGTTGCTACTTAACGCTGTCAGCATGTTGTTGAATATAATCAGCACTCTGTACTTTTTATATTTTAAAAACCAGCTCTTGGATGAGTTCATTCTCCTTCAAAATGAATTTTTTTTAGACTTAATTCAGACTAAACAAGTGTTACCATGCCAACACACTTCAGGTCGCTGTATATGGGATATAATTAATAACTCTGATACTCTTTTCTTTTTTGTTTTCTCAGACATATACATACTTTCACCCTGTCTCCCCTGTGTGACTTCCTGGTGGCGGAGCACCATCTTTGCTCTGCAAAACTTGATTACATAAACAGATTTTGTTTATAATCTGTTGCAATTGTGCCAAAATCATCTGAGTGCTGTAAACATATTACAATAGCACAATGATTACAATCAGTGCTAACTGAGCACTCAGAAAACCCCTACAAGATTGCAAAAAACAATATGTTTGGTGTTGTTTGCGGTCCAGTGACTTGTATTCAATTTGTTGGTGTAGCTTTACATGTTCAGCTCGGAAAGTGAGATGCAAAGAAAGCATCTGTGCATTATGTGCAGGCTCAAATTATCATTTTTTTAAAGAGTTTCTGAGGTAAAGACGATGCACAACCAAAGCTAAATTTGTATTTCGAGACACACGGGGAGGAGTACTCCCCAAGTGTTTTTTGTAGAGTTGAGTTTGGAAAAGGCCTGGACTTATCTTCAGAAAAATATGTCAGCTTAGGCTAATCTTTGGTAAAATCAGGTCAGACTGCGTCCAATCTTATTATCATCCTTTTCGGAAATGCTGTGAGAACTAAACTTATAGGTTGAATGATAATTTTACACTGAAATATACACACTTTCTGGTCTAACTATATTCCAAGTTTAATCTGTCATTTAATTGTTACACTAGTGAAATTGGTTGAAATAATTAAAATAGAATACATTAAAATTAAATTCAGTGCCCATCTGCTTAAGTGTCAACTTGTCAATACATTTCCATCTAATTTATTTTTCATTATTTCCTGTTGTTACTCACCACATCCTTAGTTTTAAAAAAGCAGGAAGTAACAGTTCAGAACTGATTTTCTGAAGCAGAGGAAGACATTCCCGTGTCTCCGGTACTCTCTATTTTAGACGAGGGTTTCGCCGAATTACTATGTGGAACAAGTGGTCTAGACAAACATCCACCTCCTGCGCTATAAATCCTCTGCATCCGTAATTATGCAATGAAGAAAAATCACATTTCTCCATTTTTACACTGTAATGGTTGCCCACTGTCATCGGGTCAAACTGTTTATGATAATATATTAAAGGTCTCAGCCTCTGTGACCAGTGCTCCGCTGGTAAATGCTGCATCTTTAGGTTCATTGGAGGGCTGTAATAGCTCCCCATGGCAGGAGGTCATGGAGCTGCAGATGCTGATGACATATTCATGTAGGTTAGCATGGCAGACGTTTAGAACCCCAGGCTGTATTACTTGAACAAGGGCTCACTGTGGCGCACTGGATGGTTAACACACTGCTCTGCTACTTCATAGGCATGGCTTCAAAATGAGAGGGAGGGAAAGAAAATGAGAGACAAGGGAGGAGCTCAAAGGGAAAGATAGCTGCAGAGAAGAAAAAAAAAAAAAAACGACAGAGAGAGTGTCAGACAGAAAAAGAGGAAGCTTCTGAGGGACAGAGAGAAGGGTACAAAGAAAAGAAGAGATGAAAAGGAATAGAAGAAACTGACTGAGATGACTAAGATATACGGAAGGAAGAAGTGAGAGTGAAAAATGCAGAGAAAGAATGAGAGAGAGGAAGTTAAAAAAAGATATCAGGGGACTGAGAGAGAGAATGGAGGGAGGAATAAAAGATTCTGCAGATGGATGAAATGGAGAGAACGCAACACAGAGAGCAAGAGAAAGAGATAGCTGTGTGTGAGCGTGGGGGTGCGCGAACTAAAAGAGAGAAAGAGAGATGGTGCATGCACAGACACGTAAATAATGTGAAGCAACAACGGACTCGCTGCGCCCACAGAGGAGATAACCCAGAAGGCTATATTTAGCTCGTTAGGCCTGTCATCCACTGAGGCCCGTTTCCACAGGCTGGGGGTCTGCTCACCACGCTGCACTGCTTCTGCTTTTACTATTCATCACCGCTAAGCTCCTAAATATACGGTGCCGGAACGTGGAGACATGCTTTCATATGGTTATGTGCAGCTGATGCATACGATTGTTTTTATGTAAGCCTAACCAGCTAGCTCCCAGGACGATAAGAGCAATAGTAAAAATACATTTTGCACGTAAAGTGGTTGACTGTAATGAGGTGTTTGCATACAGAAGAGTATGAAGATCTGGATGATTTTTTTCTTCCTATCTGCATTTAGTGTCGTTTATTTTCTGCTCTAATCGTGATTGTTTCCGGTTGAAAAGATCGGTTCGTGTTTGCATATTTTCACCTGATATCCAACAACTCTTCTTCCAAGATGTTCCTTCAAGGAATCAAGCGTGTGCCGGCGTGACCGCAGCACCCACTTGCTTTAGCAAACCGGCGATATGGCGCTATGCTCTGTTCAAATTTGGTTCTGTCAGGGAAAGCTTAATTACAGTTTTGGTTTTCCAGAGAGCAACATTGATGGCACATAATTGCAACACAAAAACATCTCTTTCCATAAATGTTTGACATTCCCACAGTTTCCTGACTTCCTGTAGATGACTGTAGTGCTTGGAGAAATTTTGTCAACATAAATCTTCTAGTTGGGTTCGTTATTCCTGAATGTTGTCGTCTTTATATCATCAGTCTCGTACATAAAGCTTTATAATGTTGGCATATGCTACCAGAGTAACATTTCTGACTGCTGATCAGTGATTGTAAACAGCAGGAGTTGCATTTTTTTCAAGCTGAACGTATAAACACCTGTTGGGCACAGTCCTGTTGGTGCTTTTGGATGAGTCTGTCAGCATTTATAAATCAGCTGATGTGAGTGACGTGTTGACCTACATTCACTGTATGACAGCCAATGAAAATGTGAACAAAACTGAGACGATAACAATCTTCTGTTATTGGCTTTGTGATTTTATTTTAATATTGTTGGAAGCTTACTGCGTCTAATGTTCTTTTTCAGGATTTTTGAACAACTTAAAACATCCAGTTGGTCGGTGTTCTCCATGAGCTACACTAAAGCTCCTGAAAAAATATTTTTTATTGCCTCTAAGCTGGGGCTCCTGCAGTTTTTTACTTATGCCAGGGGTGATGCTTTTGCAATAATAACAGGAAGATGCTATAAGTAAACCTTTGCTCTGGTTTAGTGCTACTCTTGGTTTGTAAAAAAAAAAAAAAGAAAGAAAAAAAAAACACCTCACAATAATAACCTGGTTATTGCATGGCACATGACTGGTTATTTGTTTATTAGGTGCTTTTTTGCTATTTGTAGAGAAATGTTTGAGAAATAAAGAGAATAATTTTTATCACATTTGTTTAGATTACTAAGAGATGGTATTTGTATAAATCTAGTAGACTTGAAGTAATTGCATATTTGTTATTTGATTGCAGACAGGATACAGTGCAACACAAATGTGTGAGCTGGTGATCTGTGCAGTGTGCAGTTTTAAATATTTATAAAATATTTAGATATTGTTAGATATCTGTCTGTGAGATGTATTTTGAAGTGTTTGGAAGATCTATTTTCCAAACATCTTATGGTATACTTCTTATTATTTCATACCTTTCACACTTAAAATGACATTGCTCAGATTGTCTCTGTATGCTTTGTAGCTGTGCTGCACTCCAGCCAGGTTTGCATGTTTTGTATGTTTGGATTCATAGAGCTTCCCTCTTTTCTTTTTTTTTTTTTTTTTTGAAAGAGTAGATATGTTTTATATGGTTTCTGTCACTGGTGAATCACATATGGGAACAAACAAACACATACATCAAGTTATGCACATTGTGGATGTCTGCTTTTCCACTCTGGCTGTTGTATTTATAATTCATGGCTCTCAGATTTCACTGCTCTCCTGGAATCCCACTGTGTATTTTTAAATAAGGCTGCATTATAGCCTCGGCTAATGATGGGGGTGT